AATTAAAAAATAACAATTAATTTCATAAAAATTAATATTTTCAAAAAAAATTTTAAAAACTTTTAATTAAAAAATTACCAACCAAATCGAATCAAATGTACTTCATGTAATTTGTATAACCATAATATATTATTATGTTTTCATAACACATCTCACGGGCGAAATCAAGGAACAGATTTGACTTTAGAAAAAGCCGAAAGTGACACGTGAAAATCAGCTAAAGGTGATGGAATGGTTGATCTACACAAAAAAGAAGATGTTGGGTCTAATCTTCTCAACCAACATGCTTAATTTTCTTTCTTCCGCAACAAGAATTAGGGTTTCCCGGTTTCGCAATATAAACCTTTGCCAAACTGTAATTTGGAAAGTATTACATTGGGGCGATGGCTCTCAAAGCTCACAATCAATGGTCAAGCTTCCACGTACATGTCAATGTCTTTTTTGATATTAAGCTATCGGTATTTGATAATCACATTTTACTCTTAATAAATTCAAAATCGAATCGTATTAGATTTCATTAAAAAAAAATTTTCTTAATACTTATTTTTTAATTCACAAGACTTAAATTCAAAATCTTATTTTAAAAAATTAAATTTTTTTCATTCAGACTAATAATTTGTTGCTACATACATGTCAATGTCGGTAAAACAGTTCTGCCAATTATCTGTTTTCGCCTCTTCAACGACTTCAAGCATCTGCCCTTCCTTTGCGTTATTCCTCACTCCACGCTAACCACAACCGTTCCCTGTTTTGCAAATCCATCAATCAACATATGCTTAATTGCTTGAATCATCATCTTCATGACATGCCAATATAGAAATAACATGACAACGTACTATTCCATTTAATAATTTATTGCATGATTTATTTATGAATCCGTCTAATTTATATTTTAAAATACATATTAAAAATATTATAATATTTTTTATAATTAATTTATATAAAAAATAAAATTAACTTTAAATTTATTAATTATTCAATTAAAATCATTTGAGTGGTATTAGTGTTAAAAATCATGTTTTATTTTTACATTTTTTTAATAAAAATTTATTACAAAATAATGTATTTAATTCAATCTAACATATGCCCTTAAATAATTTATTTATATGTATATTTAAATGATAATTCATTTATATATTTCAAAATTATTTTATTCGACTACAATCAACTAATTTAAAAATTAAAAATTAATTTTTTTCTATTTTTTGTATTAATCTCTTAATATCCGATAAGTTTATTGAGTTTTAATTAATTCGGAATCCAAAATCAAGTCATGTTGAACTCCATATAGAAGAAACTCTTTTAGCGTCTATTTTTTCATTAATAAAATTTAAATTTGAGGAGGAACCAAACTCTTTCTATTCAAACCAACAGATCATTGGTAAAATTTTTATTTATTCACTACTAAGAAAATAGTCAATTATCAATTATTTAAATAGATAGTAATAATTTTTTTTAATAAAAATAAAAAATTTTAAATTTGTATAGTGTAATATATAAGTGTGTAGTAGATTAAGAGATGTGGGAAAATTATTTCTCTTAGTGAATTTAAAATTAGAAAAAAAAAAAAAAAGGGTTGGGGTGGTGATATTTTTCGGCACGGCCATGGAAGCGAGGGGGAGGGGGTGAAAGTGGAGAGGATTCCGGCGGTTCCGCCGTTGACATTTGTAATAACGTACTGGAGAAAGGGGTAGCTAGAAAATGAAGACATGTGATATCATTATTTCATGATAAAACCGAAGAAAAGAAAAAAAAAAAAAGAAAAAGAAAAAATCCTAATAATTAAGTGGTTGGCATGTTGGTTACAATGCCAATTTCAGAAGGAAGCATATTATAGGACAGCTACTCACACGTATCTCCATTCATTTTCTTTTTATGAGGATCTTGTGATATCAAAATTTGCCTGTGGCTTGTATGGCAGAAGAAGCTTGCTATTGGACCACCCAGAGCTTAGTGTTGTAATCAGTAATTAATTGCTGGTATAAAATTATAATAAGGACTACCAAAAAAAAAAATTAAAATAAGGGAAAGAGTGGAGCAACACATTACACATATAATCATTATATTATAAAAAGGATCATGATTGGTGCACACCCGGATCCCACACCCGGGTGTGCACCCCCCACATAAAAAAAAAAAATTTGAACGGGGTGATAGGCATTTTTTTTTATTTATATGGGGGGTGCACACCTGGATGTGGAATCCAGGTATGCACCCATCATTTTCCTTATAAAAATTATATCTTTTTCCTCATAGAAATTTGTTCTTATAATTAATAATCCCATATATAATTTTTTTAGTATATTTGATAGGTTATATGAAAAAATATAATTCTTTTTTTTCTCTAAATTTCTCTTTGTCTAATTTAAAATTCAAATTTAAAATCTTTAATTTTAAATTTTAAATTTTTTACTATTAAGCCACCCATGAAGAGTATTATTATTCCATATATAATGATCATATACAGTGTTGATATTCTCCTCACATGCGCTAGTTTCAGCTATTGCATGCGCAGATTTTCTCAACCAAATTAACCAACCCGGTCTTAGTAGTTATAACTATTATAATTACAATTTGAGGTAAAATTATAAATTTAAAATTATAATATGTTATCAAAAAATATATATAATATTTTTTAATTAGATTTAACTATTATACTTTTTAAATAAAGGTAATTTAATTTAATTGTCTCTTTTTCTATTTTAATAAAATATTAAATGTTAATATTTTATTTTTTTTCTAAAAAGATTAAAATGTGTTAGGATTTTTAGTTTGATTATAAATAAGAGTGAAAATAGAAAGATAAATCATAATTATTATAATAAATAAATTTATTGATAATCATAAATAGGTAAAGTGAAAGTATCATTTATGAATTTTTGAATAAAAATAGTTATTTTATTAGTACTAATCTCTTAGTATTCGACAATCGTATTAGATCGCAACTAATTCAGAATTGAGTTATGTTGGACCTCGTAAAAAAAAATTTCATAAGAAAAAATCTCATAAGAAGAAATTATCTCAATAATTATTTCTTCATTTATAAAAGTTGAACTTAAGATTTTATTTAAGGATAATTGAACTCCTTTCACTTTAATCAACAACTTTGTTGGTATAAAAACAGTTAATCATAACACGTCATGATTGTGTCTTCTTTCTACATTTATAATCAGGGTGTCCTAGGTGGTTTTATAAACCCCGAAACTATTCTCTTCTTAATTAATTTTAAGAATATACTTTTATATTGACCCATGTGTGAAGAGGTCTAAACCATATATTTAACCCCTTATCTTATTAAGTTTGAAATTTTTATTTTTTTATTTTATATTATGAACTTTTTAACCTTTAAATTTAAAAGTTTAGAGATTTTAGTCCCTTAACTAACAAAATCGTTAACTCTTCGTTGAAGTAAGAATATAATATTTACCAGATCAGTCTTCAAAAATTAAAAA